TGTATGAAACTGTTTCTTCCCATTTTGAGTTGTGCCACATCAGTAAATGGAAGTCCTGAAAGTTTTATTCCATTCACATCATTAAGGTTGGCTCTACTCTGAGGAAGCAACTTTTCCCCAGTTATATATTGAGTGCCTTCCAACCTGAGCAGCTCATCTTCCAGCACTATACCAGACAGTGTTTCAGGGCTATTCATAAAGTTTTCCAGTAATATATCAGACAGTGTTTCACTGCTATTCATAAGGTTTTCACTGGCCAATTCTCTGAGAAGCAGATGGCCCCTTCCTTCTTTCAAGTCTGTCTTAGTCTGGAAGCTGGACTGAAACCTGTCCACCATGGGTGACCCTGCTGGTATTTCAAATACCAGTGACATAACCTCCAGCCTCACAGCAATACACAAGCCACCACAGTGTGACATAATATTATCTCCATAAATAGATAAGGAGCTCTGGTAGCATAGTGGCTAAAGCACTTGACTGCTAACCAGAAGGCTGGCGGTTCAAACCCACCAGCCACTCCTCGGAAGCAAGGTTGGGCAGTCCTACTTCCGTAGTGATACTGCCTCGGAAACCCAAGGAGGGGTCGCTATGAGTCGGGGCCGACTTGACGGCACACAACAACAACAACAACAATAAATAGATAAATAATATAGCTTATATATATAGGAGCTCTGGTGGCATAGTGCCTAAGGCATTTGATTGCTCACCAGAAGGCTGGTGGTTCAAACCCACTAGCCATTACTCAGAAAGAAGACTGGGCAATCTACTTCATTAGAAATACTGCCTTGGAAACTTAGAAACCCACGGAGTGTTTGCTTTTAGTTGGGACTGACTCAACAGCAGTGATTTGGGGTTTATATATAGATATAGATATATATATATATAGAGAGAGAGAGAGAGAGAGAGAGAGAGGGAGAGAGGGAGAGAGAGTTATCTCAATGAAACAGCTCATGCAATTGTAGAGGCTGCTGAGTCTCAAATCCATGGGTCAAACATCAAGCTGGAGGCATCTCCTGACTCATACAGCTGTAGGGGCTGACAAACCCAAGATCAGCAGGCAGTATAGCAGGCTGTTAGCTTCAGAGGATGGTGAATCGAAGACTAGTAGGTAAAATGGCAGATTATTTTACCTTTTGTGAAGGCAACAGTCCTAAGATTGGCATGCAATATGAGAAGCCACTGGTTCAAATCCAGGAACTGATGAGCTAGATGCAAAGTTAAGATCCAATAGAAAGCCAGCAAGCTTTCCCAGAACATCCATATACATACATGTTGGAAGCAGGCCACATCCCTGAGGAAACTCCCTTTCAACTAGATGGCTGCTCATAATGCGTCTCATCATAGAGGTGATCGTATTATATCAGATTTCATAGTGGGGAATACCTACATCATAACTTCTAAACCACTTAGAATCATGGTTCAGCTAAGCTGACATACACCTTAATATCACAATCTGTTTATTATTATTATTATTATTTAATTCTTTTGATATTTGTTTATACTTTTCAGCCTGAGTTCCTTCATCTTTTCATATTTTGTCTCTCCTCCAACTGGTTCTTCTTATTAGGTGCTTGGCATTGCTTCATATGTTCACCACCTTATTTTTTCTTCTTTCTGCAAATTCATTATGCTTTGTTTAATTTTCTTGCCCCATCCCACTCTAGTTTACATCAGCTCTGATTTTTTAAGTAATATGTTTTTCGGTTTATTTTTCTCATAGAATTTCCACTTAGGGCAAGTTAGGAAAACAAACTACACCAGGTATTTAAGCAAAAGGGATTTAGAACAGATAATTGGTTACTTACATAAGTATATGAGGTCTAAGAAAGTCAAAAGGGAATAATGACTTAACATAGACATAGTAATGACAAGGAGCAGTTACTGCTCTATAACTGAGGAAGAATTTGCAGTTGCCAGAACAAAAAGGTCAAAAGAGAGAGCTGCCAATATGGCATTTGTTGTTGTTGTTATGTGCTGTCGAGTCGAACCCGACTCATAGCGACCCCTCCTTGGGTTTCCGAAGCAGTATCACTA